TCAAATTCAAATATATTGATAATTATTTCATATAATTTTATCAAGATCCGTTAGCAAAGGTGAATGATATTCATTTGGAATCCTGAATCGACAAAAAAAATGTACAAAATTTTGGCTCAAAATTTAGGTGGGAAACTAATGTATGGTTAAAGTCAGTCACTTATCAGTAATGGTCATTATTTTTTTTTCAGACAGGTTGAATGATTTATTTTTATGTTGTTTTTTTCACTCCGTTTCTAATAATAATTACAAATGAATTATTCAACTAATTTCTTCTACCATTATTTTTGGGCGGGATGTTATTTCATAGCAAAAAGCCCCATCTTATTGCCTATACAATTATATACAAAAATTACTTAAACCAAGTTAAGCATTCTATAGAAAAAAAATCAACAACAAAACTGTTTTTCCTAGAACTTATAAAAAAAATATTGCAAAAATCTGTTTGTTATTCAAAAAAAAGCATAATTGATTAATTTTGTTACAATTTAAACCAAATTAATTAGTTACGAAAATAAACGTCATAACGGAAGGCTAATTAACTACTCACTCCCAGTCGGCCATGGTTTTTAAGGTGGGTCATTCGGACGGTCTCCATGGTATTGGCAACGTCTTGGAGAGGGGACTTTAGCTCCTCTGCATAGCGCTGGATGAGAGCTGACGGGATGCCACAAAATCCCATCTATACATAAAGATTTAAAAAACGGTCATTCCATTAGCGGTGTTAGTCAGATCAGAGATTGTGACTTATACATGTCCCTTTAAAAGATGATACCTTGGACCCCTTGAGGTATAATGGAATGTGCCAAACTATATTGTGATGTTCTACCTCCCATAGTTTGCATGGGTAGAGTTAGCATAACACACGAGAAGCTTGTTAATATGTTAGCAGTGAGGGATGAAGCAGCACCTGATGGGATCAACTTGACCATGAAGTGACCTTTAATCTAATCTAATCTAAGCTAAATGACTGGAGTGACATATTTGATATATCATTGGATTTACTGGAAAATTAGTTTATTTTAAATTCTTTTAGTGAACTTTGATAATTAAAGAAAAACCTTTTTTGAATATTACAGTGAAAATGTTAAAATTAAAACAATAAAGTGATAGTGTTAATGAGTGACGTGAATAAAGGCACAATGGTTGACAATATTATCAAACTTTTCTGTGAACAAGTTCTTCCATTGTCATAATACATTCCAGTTTAATGTTTAAAAATTATATTAAAATAATGACAATACAGTTGTTTTTCAGATGTTGCTTCATATTGAGCAGCAATGCGATATTGCGACAAAAAAAAACGTTTGTTCACATGACATGTAGCTACAGCAGAGGACAGAATGGTGTGTACATTGCGTGGACAATGAGATTTACACACTGTTCTGTCCATAGTTGTACATTTCCAATATGGTTTTCATACAGTGAGAAAACAGTGAGAAAAATGAACCCATCAAATTATTATCACAAGTGACTTCAGGAAAACATTATGATAAACGACAACTACCGTGAAATCATGTGAATGAATGGACTGGTGGGTGAAGATGGGTCATAATCAGAGT